TTCATATATTTAAACATGATGTTGTATTAAAGTGCAGTTTGGTCTCACGCCATCCCATAATGCAGGAGATTAATGTAGTTTTTGACCAAATTCATATTATTGACTGCACATTCTCCATAATAAACACCAGCAGAATAATCAGCTGCAGCAGCACCAGCAGAGTAAACGGATCGAACATAAAAACACATTTATGGGATTTCTGCATCACCAGCTGAATAACATGGAGGTTTCCATGGCAACATGATGCATCCAGTGTGTGATGCTGTAACTGCACGGCGTCATTAAGTGGTTTTAGCAACGTGCAGATCAACAGGTTTTCAGATAAAACGTTTCCCGTCAGCTGAGAATCCAAATCATCGTGATTTGGTCAAAGGGAGACGAAACTCTGAACAGAACCGGCATCAGTTACCATGGCGATGTAGCAGGTTAAAAGAGATACTGAAACCTCAACACACCTGCTGACACACTGATCTCCCTCCTTAGTTCAGCCCTCTGGGCCACCCTGATCGCATCAAACATGTTTCATATTTACAAGTAAAAAAATCTGGATTATCACCGTGACACCCGGAGCAACAGATGCTGCTGCTGAGCACCGCTACATATTCTCGCTCTTGAGGCCAATTTGAGGCAATGCTCAACACTCTTCTTTGGTTTTATTCCCTCGCTGTGAAGTATCATTAGTCTTACAGCAAGTCGCTGCTCCACAGTCTCCATTTTGTTTCCATCTGTTTCCCCGTGAGATCATGTGCTGCTCTGCTCCCTGGTCGCTCCAGCAGTGTGTCATGAGCCATTATTTTCCAGTGTTGTGTGTGTCTGAGAATGTCTGTTTCTCCTTATATTTGGGATAGAAATTTAAACCTCCTGTCTGGCTTCAGGCAGGTTGGTGGTGCGGCTGTATAGATGGCGATGTTGGTCGTTCCAGGGTGAAACAGCTTGAAGTCGAGGGTGAATATTGTAAAAATGGGAAATTGTGACAGTTTTGGAATGAGTATCTTTTCAAGATGTGCATAAAATAACCCAAAACCAATGCTTATGAAGGAAAAAAGGCCACAGAATCACAGTTTTAGAATTATTATAAGAATCTAAACTCAACAAAGAAAAGCACAGAAGGCAAAAAAAGACAAAAAAAAGGAGAACAAGCTGATGTTGTGTCTGAATTCCCTGAATTATACCACACAAGTCTGCATTTGTATTGAGACCTTGAGAGGAAAGGCAGGTTTCCATCCACTGGCTGTATATAAACTAGCATCACTCATAGATTCCTTTAACATTTACAATTTAAACAGGAAGAATCTTCACAACAGAGACCAACGCTGTGGTTTCTACCAGGCTGTAAACGTGTTTATTTCTGCTGTAGAAGTTGGACATGTTAACGTTGAGGTTTATGGGCAGTGAATCGCTTTTGGAGCCTCAAGTGGACATTTGAGGAAGTGCAGGGCTTCCAGATTTTGGGATTGTTTTGGTTTGATTTTTTCAGCACCGTAGCTTGTTGTAGGTTAACTTGGGTTCACAATGTGTTTTCCCTCAGTAGCTTTACAGAATATTTAGTCAATGTAATGACGTAGTGCTGCTAAAAAATTAGGTAAAGTCCTCCACAAATCTCCTGAGCAGCGGGATGAACATTTTGGTAAGTTTGTCCAGTGCTTGAGCAGTTCTTGCAAAACTCTCATCCGCCTTAGCTGTACCTCCTGGTTTATGCTAATTAGCAAATGTTTGCAAGCTGAACTGACGCTGCAACTGTGGAAAATCATAAAACCCGCAGTTTCCACCGTGTTGGACATAATGCAGCTGTGAAACATGCTGGTGTTGCAGCTCAGACACCAGAAACCGAACAAAAAACCCCAAAAAGACAGACAAAGCAAAAGAAGGAAGTCTGCATCCAGGACTGAGGTAGCAAGCAGGCAGACTGAGGAAAGAGTGGTGAAGAACAAGTGAAGCGGTGGCATAAATACTGAGAGACTAATCAGCGAAGTGGATGCAGGTGAGCAGAGAGCAGGCAGGTGGGAGATTTAGACGACGGAGCAGACGACCTGAATGAATGAACATGATGAACCACAAGTTTGAGCATTTTAATCTCATACGACGTCTGTCTGTTGCCCAAGAAGTATTTTTTCACGCATCCAAAATGTGAATTTCTCAGAGTAGTGATTGTGGGTCCAGGTTTGGTTTAAACATTGTGGGAGGAGACATTAATCGGGGGTCTGGGAGGAGAAATTCTGAGCATCAATCACAACATAATGCTGTTTTTGCATCGTTTTGTTCCTTTTCTGCATCGACATACGCTGGAACATGTCTTCATTCATGCAAATGAAAACACAAAATCTCGGCACCAGGGGGCAGTTAAAAAATAAAGAGGAATATCTATGGATCTAGCTGCTTTATGCACAACACATTCAACGGTTCTATGAGCTAATAATTTATATGATGTGAGTCTCGGTGCAGAAGAAAAAAACACCTACTGCTGTCTGAGGTATTGCTGCATCTATCAGGAGCAGTTTTTCTTCCAAAATAAAAGCCTCCTGCTTCTTTTAATGTTATTATTGTGGAGGGGAATGAACATTTTGTTAATAATTGAGGGCGACATGTACGTTGCATCCTTCCCTCATGAGGTCAACAGACTTTTGTGGACGTCATAAAATGTACGATTAAAACTCGAATCCTGATCCTGGTTCGCTCACGCCTTTCATAAAACCTGCTGTTTGTGGTGTGACTCCTGATCAGACCTGGTTATTTAACCCCAGCAGTCTGTTTTTATGCTAATTTCATCAAGCGACAAAATATTGGCCTCACGGTGTCTCGCACTGAAATGGAAGTTCATTATTCGTAACAAAAAGTAAAAGAAAAAAAATCCTCAGAGCTCCCACGAGTTGTTAAAAATGCTGCTGCAAAGCTTCTAACCAGGTCCTCTGAGTGGTCTCATGTCTCACCTCCAGTTCTTCTCCCAATTAAATTCAGCCCACGCTCAAAAACTAAAGGAGCTCTGGAGCAGGAACATGACGGTGCCAGAATTCTCATGGTTTTAATTCCTTCAGTAAATAGAATCTAAATGTCTTATTTAATTTTATATGCAGCCTGTATTTCAAAATGACTCGATGCAAAAGAAATCGTGTCTAGAAGATGATCCTGGTATCACACACAGGTAAAAATGACACCTTTCATTTGCTGTAACTTGTTCTGACCGACTCCCATCACACATGCTGATATGAGCCACTTTTTAAAGTTTTCTCTGGTGAATTGTCAGAAAACATAAAACACAATCAGGGTACTAATGTGTGCTTCTGTGACTTTGTGTCGTAAACATTAAACAGCTGTAGTTTTACTATTTACGGAAGCTGAGAGCGGTCACGGCTGCACATTTTTATAAACGGCATTTTCTCGAGACAACGAGATAATTATCTCGTTGACAGTTCCGGCTGTCACTTCAGCCTTCATCAGAAGTTGTCGGACTTCCTGGTGTGACGTATCTTATATTGACAGCTGACCGGGAACTCCGACATGACGTGTCATGAGAACAGCTGACCGGGCAACTTACAATGAAGCGCTGGTGCCCGGTCTGGTCTGTCCTCCGGCCCCCCGCTGGTGACTGAGGATGGAATCCCAGGTGTGTGTGGGAGGTCCCACAAACACCAATTATCTCACGAGAAAACGATTCTTGTTATCCCGAGATAATGAGAAAATTAACTTGTTATCTCGAGAAAACGGCGAAGAAAGAACAGTAGCGGAAAACGACCGCTCTCGGCTTCCGTAACTATTAAAACTATGACACATCCCTGTAAAGCCTGAATCATGAAATAAATGCCAAAAACTTTTACCTTCTGACAAAATCCGGCATTTTTGGTGCATAAATTACTGATCCGTGGTGGATTATGTGTGCGCTGAATTGTATACACGAGGTCTCAAAAACTCACCTATCAACTTTGACTCTTTGATGAAAATTGTGCTGAACAAAAGCAAGACTTCGGCTTTAGATTGTGGCATCTGAAGTGGATGTAACACTAACCTGGTTGCAGTTTTTCACAGAACTTTAACACGTTTTTCAGCCCTGAAAAGGCCACGTGTCTACCTGCTCTGGTTATGAAGTTATGCTGCATGCAAATTCAAAGGTGAAGCATTTGAATGCACCTCAAGGCCGTCTAACTGTACACGTAGCCACAGCATGAAGGTAAAGCTTTTGCATGGCTTCAAGTTATTTTTGAAGAAGAAATCATCTGATTCTGAGGGACTCTGCTGGAAAGCTTTTCTCAGATTTGGCTGATTCTTGTATTAAATGACTCACACAAGCTGCAGGATCCTCCCTTTCTCTCACTATTTTCCTTCGTCATCCGGATGATAAGAAGAACCTTCTGGAGAAACCTTCAGAGCAACACTTAAAGCTGCAGTCGACAGACATTTATCTGGTTACACCATACGTCTCCTCTGTTATTGCTACGCGCTAAAACACCGAGTCCCATTCTTTGCATGTGAAAACCCACTTGGCAACAAATCCTTTGTGATTCTGATTCTGAAAAAAGGCAGAAAGAAAGAAAACGCAGTGTGATTGCGTTTTTGGTAAAATCTCCCGTCACAGGTTTGATTTCTTGCAGGCCGAAGACGGAGCCAAGAGGAAGGCGGCGCAGAGGTCCAGTTTCCTCCCAAACCACTTGAATTACAATATGCTGAAGGGTTTGTGTGGAATATTTTTTTTGCCCAGTGATGCAATAAAGTGCAGCTTAATTAATCACTGGGTGACCCCCTCCTTAACATCTGCTTTTACTAAATGAGGCTCAGAGCTCGGAGGCGTTTTGTTTGTGGGATTCTTGCAGCGAAAGCACTAAGGATCCTTCTCGCCGTCCAGAAGCTCCCCCTGAACTCTTCCTCCTCTCTCTTCCTCCTCATCCGTCCACCTCTCGGGGATGTTTTCCACCACCGGAGGCGCCGATAAGGCAGCGAACACGACGGCCTGTCGCTCAGATAAGAAACCCTCGCCGTGTTTGTGCAGCAGCCAACGTTCTCACAACGGGTGCGTGTACAAATATTTACATTTTTATTTTTCCACAAAAGTATGCAGTCACCAAAAAAAAAAAAATACGAGGGGGTGTCAAACTCACCACTGGATGTGATACTTGCACATATTACAGTATGCAGCACTGAGACAAAACCTAACCAGAAGCTTTGACGGACAGTGTCAATACAACAGTGGTGTCAACGTGGCAGACGGCCGTCGGAGGCGTCTTTTGGCAAGCTTTGGTTAAAAAAAAAAAAAAGTACATTTGAAGAGACAATAAGCTGAGAGAGGAGACAGTCTGGAGGGAAGTAGCTTTAAATAATCAATACATGAACATTGTTCTGGAGCTTTCAGCCGCATCACGACATGTTGGAGAAAACTGCTCGTAACGATTAAGCAGGAATGAGTTTTATTAGGATTTTAAAGGTACTATTAGTGATTCTGCTCATCAATCCTGTGCTAAGAGAAATCACAAATAGGTTTTCACATTGTAAAATGATCTAATTAATGTTTTAATTACCAACAATTTGATATTTTTATTGTTCAAAGTTTCTTATTCCTGTTAGTTCCTCCACACATCAGCGTACTAACAATAGTTTGTGTTCTCGCTTTTGAATTTCCTCTCCTTTACTTTTTATCCTAAGGTTTAAAAAAAAACAACTTTCTTAGTTTTTCTGTGAGGCTTTATTAGCTCAAGAGAAAAACTTTAGAGCACTTCTTCTTCTTCCAACATTCAGTCAGAAAACGGGTTAAACTGAAGTGAGTTTGCCTGCAGCCTCCGAATCTGTAAATCTGCTCTGAGCGCTCTGAAACTGAATTTCTGAACGAGGCTGCCGGTAAACACAACAGACCTGCGGCGACCGGAGAGGAACTCGGAGCCAGACGATGGGAAAAAAAAAAACTCTTTTTCTGCACCTGCATGTGATGAACTTCACGTTTCTGCCGACTCATCCAGTTTCCAGCAACATGCAAAAAAAGGCTCGTGGAACGGCGGCAATAAACAGCGTCGACGGCGGATTTATGCCGGTTTATTTGCTTTGTTTACAACTTTACAACGTCGCTGCACCACTTCACCGCTGTCTACTGATGCTACTTGGTGCACAGTATCTGCAGTTTAACGTCTGCAGAAACGATGAAATGACAAATTGTTCTTCTGGTATTGGGTGTAGCGGTGATGTAGAGCAGGCCGGCATGCCTGGAACGTTGGGGTTTTTTAAAATGGAGATGGCAAATACCTGCCTCCAAAATTGTCTGTATCACTGTGTACAAAACCAAAGAGCAGAGTCTGTGTTTGTGTTGCCCACATCCCTTAAGATCTCTCATAAAATGCATCACACGTGAATTTGAAAGGGAGTCGATCATATGCACCGTAGCAAACAAACAATAGAACAAATAGATCAAATGTCCCAAAGAAGTTTCTTTCTCGGTCACCAATCTGATTCAAGTTCGAGTCTCCGATTGTTCCATAAACAGTCAAAATAAATAGATGTATACATGATAAGAAATGTATAATTTACTCTTTACATCTCTCAAAAAGCTTCTTGTAGCTGCTAAATATGTTCCAGTATTACATAATCTGGACGTGTTCGACTCTAACTGTGCTAGATGAACTCTATCAGCACCTTTTCTGGGCACCAACATGGTGGTCTGGACAGGACAGCAAAACTACTACCCTAGACTGTAGAAACTAGAAGGTAAGAAGGAAATAACACACTTTTCTATTATTGTAGATTAGCTGTAATACCTGCTTGTTCCACCAGGGGGAGCCTCTGGTTATTTAGTACCGCAGCGACCAGAGGAGGCGCTCAGTCCCGTGTTGGCGAGCAGAGATCATTGTGGGGGTTTGGCTAGTAAAAAAGGCACCATGACAAAGTCTTCTGTGGTGCTTAATGACCCCTGACGATGCTGAGATCAATTCGGATCCTGTTCATATCAGCGGACCTTTTTTGCACCACGGACCGGTTTTAAGCAAGAACGTTTTCTACGGACCGGTCATCGCGCACGTTACAAAAAATCAGTGTTTTTTCTATTCAAAAGTTTCCTAAATTAATAAAGTTACTTGCTAAATATATGTTTACTTTTTCTTCCATCTCAGTATCGAGTCCACTTTCCAAAGAAGCTCTCCTGAGATTTTTTTTTTTAATTTCGGCAGCGGTTAGACTGACGGCTTTGTTTATTGGCTGAGCAATAAAACTAATAAGAGTCAAATGCGAGAAACAAGCACAGATGGATGCGACTGGAAGACGAGCTAGTCATTTTTCAAAATAAAACACCCTGCAGGCGCCGCTGGAAATAAAAATACAACAATAAAATGTTTTGGTTTTTTTTTCTGTGCGGCCCAGTGGTCGGGGACCGCTGGTTTATATAACCAAGTATCAATATCTGCACAGGTGTAATGTCCCCTGTGCTTAATTTAGAATATAATATCATCAATTATTGTATGATAACACTATATTTATTAGGAACGTTTTTTTAAAAATGTACAATACAAGCAAAGTATCGGGTTCAGGTTGGTGTTAATACCCATAAAATTTGCCTTCATCCGACTACCGATCCTGAATTTAGCATCTATTTTCTTCATTCCTGCAGCAGAACCAATCAGAGTTTATTGATCCATCGATAATATTTTCACCCAGGAGTGTAACCCTAACCCTCATGATGCCGTAGAAAGCCCCAGAACAAAGTGACGACTTGAATGCTTCAAAGTGAAACTTTCAGACTTCTGGTTCCATCTAACCAAAGACAACCAATTCATGATGACAGCAAACAGACAAAAATTCTCACTAACTGGTCAGTTTAAATCAAATAAATCTGCTGGTTAATAAAAATGACCGAATCCGTTTGGGACGCTAATGGAGAGCTTGATTAAAAGAGTAATAAATTATTCTGCTTTCTTCTTCTTAGAAAATACAGACTGACACCAAAATATTTGGATCTCTGAAATGAGAAGGACCACAGGGAGAGAGAACCTGAAGAGAGAGACGAAGAGGCGACGCTTCTCTTTGACGTATAAATAAATAGAACAGACTTTGACACGTGTGACGAGGCTACGAGGAGACGAAATCTAAAAGTGTCTTGTCTTGGGGGGGAGAAAAAAAAAGTGTCTTTTCTTGGCGTTCAATCCACAGTTCATAACCAAAGGGTTCAAAGTGTTGCTTTACAAAAATGCTGTGCCATAATAAGAGTACAAAAATACATAACTGTGCAAGACGGGAGCTAATAAAAGAGTCCGTGTGAATACTGCGAGCTCCATACAGCACTGTGTTGTTTGGCGGAGTCCGGCGGAGTTCCTTCTGAGAGCTGAAGGCGGCGCCGCGAGGACGACAGCAGTGGCGGCGTTTCGGAGTGCGCAGATATGCAGCATTTCAAACTGTTGTTTTTGTTTAAAGCGAGCTGGTGCGGGGTGCTTCAGATGGCGTAGTCGTCCTGAGCGGCGGGGCTGAAGGCGGAGCTCCGCAGGGCGTCCAGGCAGTTGACCAGGATGAGCGTCCCGGTCAGGTGCTTCCAGCGCTTGGTGATGGGGTTCTTCATCTTGTCCAGCCCCATGTGCAGCTCCTGGATCACGTCTCGGTAGCTGTCGCCGATCTGAGCCGCCCACGTGACCAGGAAGTCGTACGCCGGCTTCCACATGGCCTGCAGAGGGAACACAAACGTCAACTTTTTGACTCAATACTGATGAACTCTGTCCTTCCTTTGCCTGTTTTGCGCATAGACTGTATAAAAGATGGACGTAGCTACCGTGACGTCACCCGTTGGTTTCTGCACTGAGAAAATGAAGCCAGGGTTTTGCTACTTCCTGGTTGACATCTTGGATTTTTGGAGCCAGTGACGCAAAAATCGTCGGAGGGGGACGGAGCCATAGGAGCAGCGATTGGTCAGATGGATTGAGAGGCGGGCCCTCTCTGCCCCGCCCACATTTACCGCCTTCTGCTCGCTTCGTCTGCATCGTCGCTGCCGACTGTCAATCAAGCCAGCCACGCCCCTTGTCCCGCAAAATGTTGACGATTTTTAAAAAATTCAGTATTGATTTATTTTCAGATTGGCCACCTGATCTCTGGACTTGACCATGAAAACTAATAAGAAAAAAATCCTGAGCTGTAGGAATGCAGTATTTAATGATCTGTGATCACTTCTTTTCCAATTCATGTCTATGGGAGCCAGGGCTTTGTGGAGCCAGCAGCTAGCGGACGTAGTGATACTGCAGGTTTTTGACAGTTCCGGGTTGGCTTCATTTTTCAGGGCCGGTTGCTACGTCCATCTTTTATACAGTCTATGGTTTTGCGCCACAACAATGTGAACATGCGAGTTCTGTTGTGGACCACATGTCAAGAACTCACATGTGCACCTCATTATTAATTAGATATAAAGAAAAACACTTTGCATTACTTTAAACCAATCAACAATCCTCTTGGATGCCGCTTCAGTATTCCCCTTAACATAGAGTGGAACTGTTTTGCTGTATTTGCTTCAGGGGAAATGATATTAAAACAACATTCCCACAGAAAACGAGACTTGTATCACAAATTCTGTCAAAAATAATTGCGATTTGACGTTTTTTGCATATTGTTCAGCCCAACAGAACCTTTTTTTGTCCCCCAACAACAAATCTAGTTGCATGTTTTGGAGCTACTTCCTGCGTTGTTGTATTTGCAGCAGGGAGACGAGCGATGTGATTAAAATGGATAATCCACAGAGAAAAAAACTGAATCTGAATTCTCAGCAAAACCTTAGATTTTCAGCGTTACAGGTTGCTGCGAGGTGGTTGTTGTTTCTCACAGTGAGGCGGATTCTGAAAACAGCAGTAACGGTGGCAGAAAACGGAGGACAAAGTCAGACTGTAGGACAACAGAGCAGCTACATCGCAAACATTCTGTCATCCAGATGTGGTTACTGACATGTTTAGACTTGTTTCCATCCATTTACTTCAAAGCATATTTTTAATTTGTACATCAAAACCCCCGTAAGGAAAAATCTCACAAAAAAAAAAACCTCTCGTTGATGCATCAATAAAGTCAAAGTGTGGCTTGGCAAGTAAACTTCGACAAAGCTTCTGCTGCGCCGGAGACAAACATCCACTTCTCTGGTAGTTATACTGCAAAAAAACAAAACAAATGACTCTAATGCGCTTTATGGTTACATCGACTGTTTCGGTTTTCCAGGGTGGACTTCTTCTGGAACATATCTGCATTTCAACTCCTGCGACGCGTTCTGTTGGCGTCGCCGGCTCCTCGTTAGCATAAAGTTAAGATCGCGGCTACTTTATGGGAACGAGGGATATCAAGCGTTCGCAAAACTTTCGGTTTAAACTAAAACGAGGACGGATTCAGTCTCAAATATTTTCAGACACATTTCATGGGAAGTAATTTATGAGTTTCCGATCGAGCCGCCATGTTGGTTCGGTTGTGTTTTTTTAGTTGTATTTTTGTTGTTATTGTTTTGCTCTGTGCTGGCACTGGCAGAACAGCTCTTCATTTTTTATGCATGCAAACACGAGAAATGACAATAAACAAATCCTGAATCTTGAAATCGAGCAGCAGAAACCGGTTCCAGAGCTAGTTCCACGCTAGTGCCTGACTTTGCACCGGTTCTTTGTGTTTCTACCATCTAAGCACCGGCTCCAGGCACCAACTCTTTGTTGGGCCAGAGCTAAGCACCGACTAAGTCAGAGGCTGGGGGTGAGGTTATCGTGACTACCGAGATCGATGAATGGGACACACAAGCTGTGATTTGTGTCATTTTTCGCCAGGACGTCTCTGGTCCAATCATAAATGTACTGGAACGAGTCCTGGGACAATTTTGCACAAACTGTTGTGCACTGAAATGTGGTACAACTGTGTCCCACCAGCAGCACCACACTGTTGGAAAACAGTACTTTTTTTTAACTTCGGTGTACTTATGCTTAGAAACGAGGTCTTTTCGTGAAAAATGCACCTACATGAGCTGTTTATCTGCTCATAGAAAAGACCGCATGAGAAAAAACCACTCGGCGTCGTCTTGGACAAATCTGACATTAGAACGCCCTCGTTTACATTTTTTAAAGTCATCTTTGGTCGCACACCCGTCTGATCACCAACAGCAGCTACCGCAGCCTGCAATGTGGGGCGTTCAGGGAACATCGTAACTTGTAGAGGAGAAAATCAAAGTCATACGTTTTGCCTGTGACAAGGTGAGATCAAATAAGAAAGTTGGTTGCACCAGTGATAAAGTTAGTCTGGAGTCCTGTGTGGACTTCCGTTGTTCGGTAAATGGCCACGTATGCAGTGACGTATGGCGTGGCTCTAACTTGGCTCCTTGCCGTTGGAAAAGCAACTGGTTCTTAGATTGGAACCAACTAAGCACTGGATCTAGCACCAGCACGGAACTAGCACCATGGGGCTTCTTGGTGGAAAAGGGGTACGAATGAAGCGTCATTCAATCAGATGCAGCCAACGTGGTAGGACGGTGAATCCTGTGTGGAGTTGTACACCATTCAAGCATCCGATACTAGCAAGTGGTGCCATCCTTGAGTCTTAGTACGCCACTGTGCACACGTGGCATTACTCCTGAACTATCAATGCAGCAAAATAAATCCCAAGCGGTAAGACAGGCGTACCTCACTGTCCACCACCCCGTTCTTGTCGCGATGCGGCGCCTCGTAAGCGTCCATCTGCTGGCGCGAGACCTTGACGAGCCTCTCGGCCAGCTCCCTCCAGCGTCCGGCCACCTCCACCGCCGTGGTCAGGAGGACGAAATCCATGACCAGCCTGGCCACCAGACCCTGACAGTCCATCTTCAGCAGAGCCTGCAGAGAGAAGACAGAGATAAGCGCATAAGAGTTCAGTTAAAAAAAAGGTACCGCCTGAAGTGATGGAGACTTTATATTCTGCACGAGGCCAGATATGAACTCTGACTGGGAATCAGGGGTAAAAGAGAGGAGGACGGCGAATCGCTAACAAGGAGTGTAGTGAAGATGGAAAGTGAGCAGAAGTCTGTGAAGTCTGACTGGAAAAAAAAGAAACACTACAAAGAGACTAATAAATGTACATCTACAGGTTTCATTCCACTGGCTTGATCCTGTGTTATTTTCCACAGCCTGCCTCCACAATCCTCCTGCAAAGTCCCGGCTTTGTGCATTTTTCAGATGCTTTCTGCTGGAAATAGAAGTAAGAGCCTTGTGTTGCCTGAACGGGAGATTAAAGTCACATCTGAACCGAGGGGAGGGAAAACTGCTGATCGACGCTGATAGACGTAAGCTGTGTTTTCCACATAACTGTCGAGTGAATTAGGGGCGAGTTTTTGGAGTTTTCCGCAAATTGCTTTGAAGTAAACGAACGTGGCTGCGCTGTGTCGTCAGACGGTGGCGCTATGGGCTGCGTGGCTGTAATAAACAAAGCAGAAGAAGCCTGGAAAAACTCACTTCTTTGCCATTTGCTTAAAAAAAACAGACTTTTATCCGTCAATAGACAGAACTCTCGAGTTTTCAATCAGGAAAGTTGTAGTTACTCGTTCATGTCGGCTTGTATCGACCACGTTTCAAGCTTCCCAGAGACAAACAACAACAAAAACGCTAATCGGCCATGTGAGGTGACTCACCACTCGGTTTGAAAGGCATGACGTCTTTAAAAAAAATGACAAAATGACATCATTCATCAGAGCCAGAAACTGTAAAAACTGAGAAAATTGGCAGATTTTCAATTTTCAGAAAGTCCTTAAACAACTTATTTGTGCGATTTTAACCAAATTTGATCTTCAAGTTGGGATATTTCTTCAAAACCACTCTTATTCTACATGTCTTGTTTTCAAAAAAAGGCCCCAATTAAACCATTTGAACCAGAATTTGTATTGAAACAAACTAAAAATGTAAATAGTAAATTATCTTTTTTTTCTTGTAAAATTATTCTCGAAGTTGGTGGAAAAATAATTAATACTCTGTTGTGAAAAGCTGTTTATTCCTCCTATTTCTTATTTTTCGAAAGCGTTATTAAAAGAAAGGGACATTATGTAAGCTTTTTTTCACATTTGGTAGTTTCCATGGACTTTCTCTGAGATACTACAAAAGCGTGCATAAAAATATGTTTTGGAAAAGCAGCACAGTGAAGATTTAAGTCCAGCCTCAGACAAAACCGTCGGACTCATAATCAGCACGTGTCAAACTTTCTTCGTCTGGACCCAAGTTTGTGCAGCTGAACAACATCTCTGTGGCTTCGCTGCACGAGAGGCCAAAAAAAAAAAAAAACACGAGGCAGAAAAATGCACCGTGCCACAGCGTCTCCTGTTTGTTCGGCGTTAACTGGTCTGGACAGCCGCCCGGTTCCTCCCATCAGCCCCTGCAACCCCTCTGTCTCCGTCAATTCTGCCCAGATGGCTGGTGATTGTGGGAAAAGAAAGAAAGAGAAAAAACCCGACTCAGACTGATTCCTGCAGTGGAGACAACCTGCCGCAGAGTCAGAGGGGATTTGCAAATACAAATGTGCCACATGCAAATACGAGCGCATTTGCAATGACGCGCGCATACATTCATTCATTCATGCGTCGCATTTGCACTGTTTGTCTGCACTGTGGAGCTGGCAGCACAGCACTTAGTGGAGCAGAGTGTCCCGCACAGCGACACGCTAAACAACAGTAAATAAAAGATATTAAAATGCTGCCGCTGCTCAGTCGACCACCGCCTCTAATGCTCATTAATCACAAAGTCTTGGACCCTAATTTCAAGCCTGAACTCCACCAGAGAAAACACAAACCTTCACATCTACACGCTTCACCAGCATCCTCAACCCTCTGGACTCCGGGAAGGTTTCTAGGCGTTTTGTTTGCTCACCGTGGCCTCATTTCTCACTGTAATATAAAGTCCTGCTCCTCTATGGAAGCAGCATGAAGAAGTAGAGAGAACTCAGGAAGGTCCACTTTGCAGCAAGACACAGTTATAAGGCCATCAATTCTTTAAAAAAAGGAGGCCTCGTCCACATGTAGCAGGTATCTCACGAAACGAAGATATTATTCTATGATTTGGACCAGAGACAACACAGTTCTGAGGGTGTCCATGCTGGTTCCACATGTAAACACAGGTCGCGTATGTGACATAAGAACATATTTTGTCGCAGGCAGTGACGTTTGGAAACCTAAAACCCCAGTTATTGACATGCAGACGCATAAACGGAGGATTCACACATCTTCACTTTGGTCGGAGGTTTTTGAAAGAATCGTTTTTAATGCCGTAAATCTGTGTTTTTGTGTAGATGACAGGAGAAAAATATCTTAGTTTTGTGAGACACCTGCTACGTGTGGACGAGGCCTCAATCTCTACAATTTCTTTCCATGCCGCTCTGCACTTCCTGCAGTTCAGCCGAATAGCTTCAGAGTTTTTGTCACATGAGCGTTAGCCGTAGCTGAATCAGTCGTGGTTTCTTGGTTGAATTTTTTGTAATTTTTTTTATAGGATCTGTTTTGCGCAAACAGATTATTTTTGGGAAATCTTTAAATGAGACGTGTAGAATAAAGCCACTTAGTGATTCTTTTTGTTTTAGCAGTTTCTAGCTGTGATGAATGGTGCAATCTTGGTGATACGTTAAAGAAAACACGCGTTTCAAACTCGCTGGGAAGGTTTAGGTGAACCTAAAGCTAACCAACCCCTCAAACGACACTTTGCAAAAGCAGGAACCCGACAAAATGTACCAACTTTGTAAAAAGTCCTCGTCTGCAAAACACATCTTTACTTTGCAGACAGTTTCCAAACTTTAGACGCGTCTAAAACTTTCTGGAAAACTCCCCACCTTTGCAGAAATGTCCCCACTTTTCAAGAACTTTCCAAAATGTCCCTGCTGCCTACAGATACAAATTGTGCAGCTAAAACCGGTCCTGGTGGAGAGAAAGAAAAAAAGCATCGACACGCAGAGCGAAGGTGACTTTAAAGCTGCACTCGGGGCCTCAGCGGCTCCATGTGCAGGAATGTGTGGAACGACAGGATACGAAGGAGGAGGGGGTGAGGATGGAGGGAGGCCGGTGGGGGAGGGGAGGGGGTGAGGAATGTGGATGCCATCCATGCTCCAGCAGCCTCCCTCGCTCCCACACCGGAGGACGAGATAGCTGTCGGCCAATCAGACGCTCGCCGGGTCAAAGCCGCATCAAAAAACTGAAGCAGGTTTTTTTTCCTTTTTGGACAAAGTTGGATTCTGGCGTCGCAGCAGGTTTGTTTGTTTCTGGGTGTGTGTCTTTTTTTTTTTCTTTCTGTGAGACAAACACCTGTTTCCTCGCTGGATAAGGACAGGAAATCCCTGCCAAATAAAGGAAATCACTTCCCGTCTCAACAGGACCTGAAGGCTGCCACCGGACGCCAGCGCTGCCGTAACAATGTCACACTTTGTTTACTCAGCGAAGACGCACAGTTGGAAGCAAACGCTCGGACGCTGAGTAAACATCAACAAAGCGTCCGCAGCAGCCGTGACTTTCAGTTTGTTATCAGGGCTGCAAATCTCCAGTTCAGCTCAGCGCTGAAGTCTGTAATGGAGTCGACCGATTATTTTTAACGCTCTGAACTTTAAAACCTGCCGGCGGATAAGTCACAGGATGTTTCCTTTACGTTCAAACTCAGAGCTTTTGCATCTCCAGGTGCTGAACTCTTTCACACTGAATTCATATAAAGACTTATCAAATTCTAAACTAGCTATGCGACTAATCAGGATTTTCACAAATTGTTTGATTATTTAATCCTCTGAACCCCAAAACCAAACAGCGAGTTTGAAAAGCATGTTAAATATTTTAAAGAATTGCCAAAACTGACACCATTTATCAGCCAGAAATGGTAAAAACAGAAGAAATTGGCAGATTTTCAACCTCCTGACGGTCCTCGAGCTAATCGTGTGTGAAGCTCTGTTTGTAAAATGAACCAAACCTGAGCTTTCACTTGTGATATTTCATCGATTAACCCTCTGAACCTATAAAAAACCCCTACAGGCAGGTTCAAAATGCAAAAGTGCACCATTTATCAGAGCAAAAGTCTGTAAAAACATAAAACAATCATCAGATGTTCAACTTTCCTTGAGCTAGTCGTGCACGACACGCAGTTTTGTTGGAATATTAAACAAATCTAAGCTTGAAAATTGTGATATTTCATCAAAATCAATTGGTCTCGTTTAAATGTTAGTCAAAAATACAAACTGTTGGCACCAGATTCTGTGAAAAACTAAAAATTCAGAGCGTTTCAAGTGTAACCGGGGAGTCACGATGATTCTCTGTCAGCTGTGACCAACAGTCATGGAACAAAAAGTCTGTTTGGCTGAGCTGCAGGAAGTCATAACATTTTTGTAAAATAAATGAAGAAATTAAACTTTTTCATCATTTGCAGCATTCTAGCCGTCATGCTGGACCGAAGACATTTCTGAGTTCTGTGTTCTTCTAACCATGATTGCACCGTTTCCATGAAGGGTTTTAAACTGCAGTTTAAAATGATGCTACAGTGAGTAAAAACGTGACGGGAGCAAAAAACCACCAGAAACTGATTTGAGGTTCAACGGGATGAACCCTACATAGAGATATTGGTGGTTACGACGCACCGATTGGCAGCTTCGGCCTTCATTTTTGCACAACTGGTTTAAATTTTTACCAGCGGCTGTGGCTCAGGTGGTAAAGCGGGTTGTCCACTAATCACAAGGTTGGAGGTTCGATCTCTTACCCGTCCACAGTTTAAGTGTCCTGAACCTGAAGTTGCCCCCAATGGCAGACAGACTGTATGGCAGCTCTGTCACCATTAGTGTATGAATGTGTGTGAATGAGATTGTAAAGCTTTGAGGGCTGCTATGGTAGAAA